TAGGCCCGAAACGTCAGCCTTCCTGCTCCTATGATGCTGCTTGGCCTGTTGTGTTCATCCAGCTCTACACCTTGTTATAATGTTTGTAAACCGGGTTATGGAAACAGGAAGCAGTTTTGAAAATGTATCCATTGTATCTATCAAGAATGGAGTATTCGGGGGGATTCAGCGGAAGGACCACAGAGCTGTGCCATCATGGACCTTAAGCAATGTACAGAAATAAACTGAAAGTAAAGTTCAAACTGCCACATAACAATATCAGATCATTAAAGCAGCATGATCTTAATTGAAAAACAAGGAGATCTGCCACAGTATTGCCCATGAGAAGTCTAGAGCACAGTGGTCATGTTTATCTGCTACAGTGGACATTTTCCCATGTCTGCCTTTAAGGTAATCCAAATAGGAGATGATCTAAGAAAGGAAGTTTGGGCAATTGAAGCTACTTGTGAAATTTGAAGTCAATTAGAAGGCAGTTGTAACTGCTTGTAAATTTCTAGCTCCAGTTTAAAAGAATCCAGGAAGAAATTCCTGCCTATTCTGTTCTTTATAAAAATTACATTGGATTAGCAACAAAGTATGACACTTTGGTATTTAAGTTGTCCTGATGTATAATGCTTATGAGCACTAATAAAAAAAATATACTTCACCTTTATTTTTAGAAACATTTTGACATGTTGGTTGCATTAAAAAGTAATTTTGCTATTCTCTTCAATCTTCTAAAATACAATGCCTCCAAAATGCTATGCAAACATCAGTATGTTAAAGAATAGGTAAGCAAAATTAAACCTGTAGCATTAACTGGTACCTTAAGCCTAAATAAAGGCAATTATTTGAGCATAAGGAGAAAGTTAGTGAACAGGTATAATAGATTAAAATTGAACAGGATTGACAGGCAGTGACCACATTTAAGAAGATATTTAACAAATCTCTACAAAGATAGGAATGTACCTTCTGTGTCTAATTAAGGAAATTAAACTGAAAGTAAAGGCACACAATAAAAAAATTAGTGACTGGGAAGCTGATTTGGAAAGTTTTAGAAATCAGTGAATGATAACTAGTTAAAATAAGAAATTGGAGTACAAGAAAAAGCAAGCAAGAGGTAATAAAAGGTTAAAAACTTCCGCAAGTATATTAAAGAAAATAGAATAGCTAAAGTTAGCATTGATTCTTCAGAGGATGGAACTGAGGAATGAATAATAGGAAATATGAAAATGCCAGAGGCCTTTAACAAGTGATTTGGGGAAGTGATGTCATAGTGGTAATGTGACTGGTCTAGTAATCCAAAACCCCAGCTAATGTTCTGAGGAGATGAGTTTTAATTCCACCGCAGCAGAAAGTGAAATTTGGATTCAGTAAAAATCTAAAATGAAAAAAATTAGTCTAATGGTGACCATATAACCACTTTTGACTGTTATAAAACCCATTTGGATCACTAATGTCCTTTAGGAAATGAGATCTGCCATCCTTACCTGATCTAGCCTACACATGACTGTGGATCACTCTTAACTTTCCTCTGGGCAGGTAGGAATGGATAATAAATGCTAGCCTAGTCAATGACATTTATATCCCATAAAAGATTTTTAAAAATTGCATCCATGTTCACATTTAAAAACAACAAAAAGCATCTCAAGAATAGGTGAAAATCAAGAAACAAAAAGGAAGAATTGTGAGTCATAAGGTCTAGGAAACTGAAGACAGAGACAGCCCCTCGAGGAATGTAAAGAGAGCAGGAAAGAACTTAAACAAGGTGTTACGAAGGCTAAAGGGGGGCATGAATGACCTTGGCAAATAGGATTAAGGAAAATCCCAAGGCTTTTTATAAGTATATAAGGAACAAGAGAGTAGCCAGGGAAAGGGTAGGTCCACCCAAGGTCAAACAAGCAAATTTGTGTGTGGAGCCACAGGAAGTGGTAGAGGTCCTTAACAAATATTTTGCATCGGTATTCACAAAGGAGTAGGACATGATGGACGGTCAGCGTACAGGGGTATGTTGATATTCTATGGCTTGTCAATATAAAAAAGGTGTTGGGTGTTTTGTAAAGCATTAAGGTGGATTAGCCCCCAGGACCTGAGGGGATCTATCCCAGAATACTGAGGGATGCAAGGGAGGAAATTGCTGGATAGAAACTGAAAAAACTGCAGATGCTGTAAATCAGAAACAGAAACAGAAGTTGCTGGGAAAGGTCAGCAGGTCTGGCAGCACCTGTGGAGAGAAATCAGACTGAATGTGTCTTCTGAGGAAGGGTCACCAGACCCGAAACATTAACTTTGATTTCTCTTCTCAGGTGCTGCCAGACCTGCTGAGCTTTTCCAGCAACTTCTGTTTTTGTTTAGGAAATTGCTGGAGCCTTGTATAAAACCTTTGTATCTTCTTTAGTCAAGGACAAGGTTCTAGAGGACTGGAGAACAGTTTAAGAAGGGGAACAGGGATAATCCAGGAAATTACAGGCTGGTAAGCCTTACATCAGTGGTAGGGAAATTGTTGGAGAATATTCTTAGGGAAAGAATTTACCCATATTTAGAAAAATATGAATTCATTAGCGATAGACAGCATGGCTTCGTACAGGGGAGGTTGCGTCTCACAAACTTGAATGAGTTTTTTCAGAAAGTGACAAAAATGATGGATGAGAGTAGGGTGGTAGATGTTGCCTACATGAGCTTTAGCAAGGTCTTTAACAAGGTCCCTCAAGGTAGGCTGATACAAAAGGTGAAGTCACATGGGATTCACAGTGAGATGTAAATGGATACAGAACTGGCTTAGTCATAGAAGACAGACAGTAGCAGTGGAAGGGTGTTTTTCTGATTGGTGATCTGTGTTGCAGGAGGGAAGATCTAATGCAGGAGGCAAGTGCATAGTAAATGGCAGAACCCTTAATACATTAACATACAGAGGGATCTAGGCATCCGGGTCCACAGTTTCCTGAAAATGTCAACACTATTCAACAGGGTGGTCAAGAGGTATATGGCATGTTTGCCTTCATCAGTTGGGGCAAAAAGTATAAAAATTTGAATGGCATGTTGTAGCTGTATAGCTAGTTCAGTAAAGCCACATTTGGAATACAGCGTACAGTTCGGGTCACCACACTACCAAAAGAATGTGGAGGCTTTAGAAAGGGTATCAAGAAAGTTTACCAGGATGTTGCCTGGTTTGGAAGGTATTAGCTATGAGGATAGATTGGACAAACTTGGTTTGTTTTCACTTGAACATCAGAGGATGAGGGGAGACCTGATAAATGTTTACAAAATTATGAAAGGCATAGATATAATGGGTAGTTGGAATCTTTTTCCCAGGATAGAAATGTCAATTACAAGGGGACATAGGCTTCAGGTTAAGAAGGGGTAAGCTTAAAGAGGCCGTGAGAGGCAAGTTTTTACACAGAGGGTGGTAAGTGCCTAGAATGTGCTGCCAGAGAAGATGGTGGAGGCGGATACAATCCTGTTCTTTACTCAGAGAGTAGTAAGGGCGTGGAATGCCCTGCCTGCAAAAATAGTAGACTCGCCCACTTTAAGGGCATTTAAATGGTCATTGGATAAACATATGGATGATAATGGAATAGTTTAGGTTAGATGGGCTTCAGATTGGTTTCACAGGTCGGCGCAACATCGAGGGCCGAAGGGCCTGTACTGCGCTGTAATGTTCTATGTTCTATGTTCTATATAGCAATGTTTAAGAGGTATCTTGACAGGTACATAAATAGGCAGGGAATAGACGGATATGGACGGTGTAGAGGCAAAAGATTTTTAGTTTAGCCCTTGTGACATACATTGGTACAAATGATGTAGATAGACCAGGTACTGTGGTCATAAGGTAAGGTTTCCAAGATTTACAGAGGGATTTATAAGTAGAACCTAGAGAGCTATAATCTCTGAATAGCACCCAGTGCTGTATAATTGTAATAGCTGAAATAGGAAGACACGTAGGTTCAATTTGTGACTTAAAACACCATGCAGGAAGGAAAGCTTTTGATTTTTATGGCATTGAAACCAGTTATGGATCAGGAGACATCTATTAAAAATAGATGGGTTACATTTCACCAAGAATTAGTTCCCTAGTGGGGCTCACTAGAGTAACTGTGAAGAATTTAAACTAAATTGTCAGGGGGATAGGCACAAGTGTATGAAGATAGAAAAGAAGATGGTGCATGAAGGAGTGAGAATATTAGACAGTACTAAGGATTAATATCATATCAGACAGCAGCAGATTATGCAGGATTATAAGAAATACAAAGACAGTTTTCTAATACATGTATGTGAACACGGTGTGGTGAATGAGGTGAGTGAGCCTTAGCTGTGTAGGAAAGTGGTGACAGCAGAAATGCAGCATAACCGTGGGGAAGGTTGGGTGCTAAATATTCAAGGATTCAGAGTGGACCGAAAAATAAAGGGAAAGAGAAAACACAGCAGATGGGTATCAGTACTGATCGGGGAAGACATTGTATGAACTGGAGGGGCAAAGACAGATTTTATTTGGGTTAGAGATGAGAAGTTGGAGTTGAAATGGTTCGCGACTGGAAGGTGCATTTCAACTCCCACTCCCATTCCTCAGACGACATGTCCATCCTGGGCCTCCTGCAGTGCCACAACGATGCCACCCGAAGGTTGCAGGAACAGCAACTCATATTCCGCTTGGGAACCCTGCAGCCCAATGGTATCAATGTGGATTTCACAAGCTTCAAAATCTCCCCTCCCCCTACCGCATCCCAAAACCAGCCCAGCTCATCCCCGGCTCCCTAACCTGTTCTTCCTCCCACCTATCCCCTCCTCCCACCTCAAGCCCCACCCCCATCTCCTACCTACTAACCTCATCCCACCCCCTTGACCTGTCCGTCCTCCCTGGACTGACCTATCTCCTCCCTAACTCCCCACCTACACTCACCTTTACTGGCTCCATCCCCGTCTCTTTGACCTGTCTGTCTCCTCTCCACCTATCTTCTCCTCTATCCATCTTCTATCCGCCTCCCCCTCTCTCCCTATTTATTTCAGAACTTCCTTCCCCTCCCCCATTTCTGAAGAAGGGTCTAGGCCCGAAACGTCAGCCTTCCTGCTCCTCTGATGCTGCTTGGCCTGCTGTGTTCATCCAGCTCTGCACCTTGTTATCTCAGATTCTCTAGCATCTGTAGTTCCTACTATCACTACACAAAGCTGAGTTTCTGGATTAATAGTCTAGCGATAATACCAGTTGGCCATTGCCTTCCCCATTTAGAGACTAGGCTAAGGAAAGGAAGGAATTTGTGAATTGTTCTCAAAGGCAATTAGGCAACAAATGCTGGCCTAAACAGTTATGTGCTCATCTCACTAACAATTTAAAAAATCATCTCCTTGTGAAGTTCCACAGCGTAAAGTGCATGATAAAATGATAAAAGCAAAAAATCTTTAGGGCTGGCATTCTGGTTTAGTTTTTTATGGTCATTAGTCACAAAGGTATTATAGTTAATTATTACTAACATTCCTAAATCTGGAATTCTGAAGAATGACACATTGGTGCTGAATGCCAGAGGTCTAACATGTTCTATGCCCTGAAACAGAATATAACACTACATTTCCATCTTCTGTTTGCTGAAAGTACTGTGTTGAAAGCTTCCAACAGGAAGGTTATTTCTATTACAGAGGCAGGACATTGTGAGGGAGATCCATTACAGCTGGCTATGGAGCAGAATTACTAGAGTAGGTTACCTATACAAGTTGCTAGCTGTGATTGATGTCTGGGACAAATAGACTATGAACGAAGTAAACAATGCTATTGCCTCCTGAGAAAAATTAATTTTGAATTAAATAACTTCTATCCCCTAATTAAATACAAACTAATTCAACATTTGTAATTTCTTTGTAATGGGGTGAGTGTTCTCTTCTGCAATAGACTTTATTCCCAGATGAGACATGTACAGGGGTTCTGCTCCCAGGCATCTTTTGTTTCACATGAATTTCAAATCAAATCTTAACATTACAAAGCAGCCTTTCAATAGATGAGAATAGAAATTTCTGCAAATACTTTGTGAGTTCATCGATACTTGAAGAGAATTAAAGAGAGCTTAATGCTTTGGCTGATGACTTTTTGTCAGAGTATTTCTAACAAAGGTTTCTTCTCTGATCATGTGTGATGAGACTTATTCCATGCTAGGTTTCTTCTCTGATCATGTGTAATGAGACTTATTCCATGCTCTGGCATTTTAATACATTCAGTTCAATGCTCATATTCATTTTAAATGCTGAGATATAAAGGAGACAAATGTGTCACTTGTCAAAGTATCAAGTGGTGATATTCTAGAAGGATGAAAATCTAAAATTATCCAGGGTAATCCGTTGCATTACAATAAACAGGATAAACATAAATACACTGCTTTAATCTTTTTAACTACAAAGAAATGTTAATGTGATACTTAAATGCCAAAAATAATTGCATAGATGATTGTTGTGGAAAAATTACCTTGGCAAGCACCAGAGCGGACATTCGGAATGAAACCACGACGACAGGGGTGGGGTTGAGCTGGGCAAATTTCACAGGGATGGCCCCATGCTCGGCCAACTGTAGCACAGCAAAGTGTTTTGGTGCAAACAATGCCACTGATCTGACCCTGGCACATCTCATTATTCACTTGGGTGAAGCAAGGACCAGTTCGGTAATCTGCCATTGAAAGAAACAGGAAGTCATGTTGTTATGTCATAAAAACATGCTGAATACATAAGTTTTTTGAGCGCAGTCCTGACTTTCTGCTTTATAGTAAAAATGTAATCACTGGAGCCACTTAACTCAGCTATTTTCATCAGTTTTCCCAATCAGCAAATTACTCAATGTTGTTCTCCCACTTTCCTCACATAATCCTGCACATACTTTGTTTTCAGATGCTAGTCTTGTACTGTTCATGGGCCGAGAGACAACTTAGGGATTCCCTTTCGTGTTTAGCTGCCAATCTCTTTTCATTCTCTCTCTTTGCCTCTTTTGTTGGCTTTTTCACCTCCCCTCTGAACCCTCAGCCAGGTTCTCAGGTGTATTTTCTACCTGGCATCTCTAAAAGGCACACTTTTTCTTTTATATCTCAATTTCTATCTCTTTTCTCATCTCAGGAGCTCTACTTTGTTTACCCTTTCCTTTTGAGGGGATATACCTTCACTACGTGTGAAATTCTTCTTCTTTGAAGGTAGCTCCTTGTTCAGCTCCTGTATCTACTGCCAACCTTTGACTCCAAGTTATTCAGCACAGTTCTATTCACAGTGCTGTGACATTGGATTATTCTCTGGTTATTCTCAATCTGAATGTTTGTTTGTCCTTCTCTATAGTCGCCCTATAGTTTATCGTACAATGATCACTGAAAACTAAATATTCTACCATTGACCTCTGATCATCTTGACCTGTCTCATTGATAAGAATCAGGTCTAACAATGCCTCTTTTTCAGTTGGAATGGAAACATACTGCTGCAGAAAATTTTCCTTGCCACACTATAGAAACTCTTGTATCTCATTGCTCTTTACACAGCTACTATACCTGTTTCTATCCAGTTAATTAAAGTTCCCCATTGTAACAGTTCAATCATTTGAGATTTTCTGTTATTTCTTTGCAAATTTGTTGTTCGACACCTTTTCTCAATATTTGGTAACCCCTATCTCTAGTCAAATAGATTACGCATTTGATCCCTGTAGAAACCCCTCTTTCTATCAAAAGCACAGGTAGGAGCAGAAATAGACCATTCAGCCCATCAAGTCTATTACACCATTAATTAGATCACATCTGATCTGATAATCCCCAACTCCATTTTCATTATCTCAAATTCCTTGATTCATTTACTGACTAAAACTCTATCTCAGCTTTGAACATACTTAATGACCCAACTGCTACAGCCCTTAGTATTAAATAATTCCACAGATTCTCTACCCTCTGAGTGAAGAAATTCCTCCTCATCAGCATTTAAAATTGACAACCCAGTACTCTGAGATGATGCTTGCTGAATTTAACCTCCCCCATAGTCAGAACAACCTCTCAACATCCACTCTGTCAATCTTTTAACGTTTCAATTAGGTCTCCTCGCATTGGCCAAAAACTCCAATTAGCACAGGTCCAAACTACAAAAACACTCCTCATGAGACAAGCCCTCCATACCTGGGATCAACCTAGACTACCTTCTCTGAATTGCCTCTAATACATCTTTTCTGAGATGAGGGGACTATAACTGTTCACAGTACTCCAGCTGTGGTCTGACTAAAGCCTTACATTTTTATTTTTCTTATTCACTCATGGGATGTGGGCATCACTTGTATTTTTTCCCCATCATGACGTGACCTTGAGAAGGTGGTGGTGAGCTGCTTTCTGGAACCACTCTAATCCACAGTGCTGATAGGGTCTGAGTTCCATAATTTTGACTGAAGGAACAGTGATATATTTCCAAGTCAGGATGGTGAGAGGCTTGGAGAGGAACTTGCAGGTGGTGGTGTTTGACAGCTGCCCTTGTCCTTCCAGATGGAAGTGGTCATGGGTTTGCAAGGTGCTGTCTTAGGAGCCTTGGTGAATTTCTGCAGTGTATCTTGTAGATAGTACACACTGCTGCTACTGAACATTGGAGGCAGAGGGAGTGGATGCTTCTGGATGTGGTGCCAATCAAGCAGGCTGCTTTGTCCTGAATGGTGTCAAGCTTCTTGAGTGTTGTTGGAGCTGCACCCATCCAGGCAAGTGGGGAGCATTCCATCAAACTCCTTGCAGATGGTTGACAGGCTTTGGGGAGTAAGGAAGTGAGTTAGTCAAGATTCCCAGCCAGTCTTATAGCTATAATACTAATATGACTGTTCCAGTTCAACCTCTGATTAATGGTAAATCCCAGAATGCTGATAGTGGGGGTTTCAGTGATGATGATGGCATTGAATATCAAGGGGTGAAGGTTTTATTCTTCCTTGTTGGAGACTGTCATTCCCTGGCACTTATCTGGTATGAATCTTACTTGTTACTTATCAGCCGAAGCCTGGATGTGATCCAGGTCTTGCTTCATTTGGACATGGGCTGCTTCAGTTTCTGAGGAGGTGCGAATGGTCTTGGACATTTTACAATTATTAGCAACAGTTCCCACTCTGACCTGTATTCTTTTAGCAAAATTTCCTTATTTTTATTCACTATGTATTTTGAAACAGAATCAACATTCCATTTGCCAGCCAAATTACACACTGAACTAGCATGCAGGCTTTTTGTGATTTATGCACGAGTATTCCAAAATTCCCTTGCAGCTTTCTGCAGTCTTTCTCAATCTTAATCATAGTCAGTTCCTCTAATTTTCCTGTCAAAATGCATAACCTCATATTTTGCAGGTAATATTCCATCTTCAAAGTTTCTGCACTCTCATTCAACCTTTCTAATATCCCTCTCTAGACTCTTATCATCTTCATCACTTGCTTTACTTTTTTGCAATCTCCACTCTTGTCCACATATCCAGCAAGAAGCTTGTAACTGTTGGCTAATTGCAGGGACTGTAGCTCATCAAAAGCTACCCCTTGGGTCCCTGTGTCTGCTTCACCTGCAGTCACATACACCTGCCCCTGATCACAGACCCAATCCAAACTCATTAATCTTAGTGACGATCTCCTGCAGCCAAATATCTAGGTAACTCTTTTCACCCCTCCCTGATGTAGCAGAATCGCTCCAGCTTGGACTCAGGCTCCTCAACTTGGATCCAAAGTTGTTCAAGCTGCAAACACTTGGCAATATGTTCACTCTGGGTCAGCTTGGTCCATCACTACCATGTGTCCCTTAACCAATACTGCCATCCCTCCCCTACTATTCCCCTTCCACTCTTTCTTCAGGGAACATAATGAATGCCCTGCATATATAATACCCGGTCATGCCCTTCTTTGACCAAGTTCTCTGCTATTCTATTTCCACCTGTAACTCACTAGTCTTATTTATCACACTGCATGTTCACATACATACACGGTAATGCTGACTGAAACTTTAGCACTTTCTTCCTGACTTTGACCCGCCTTGTAATTCCTTCTTCAAATGCTATCTACCTGTTGCACCTTTATGTTAGTTTCTAAACAAATCAATAAATACCTATTGTGCATAAAAGCCAAAATTCCTGGAAAATTATCTCTATTTTGTTGACAGACCACATTGATGTCAGTCATTGTAGAAAAGTTTGAATTATGATGCTTGAAATCCTTGGTTGTAAAATGTGAAATGTAACCTGCTGGATTCTCCAAAATACAATAGCATCTGCAGCAGACACAGCAGCGTGAGCATTAGGAAAGGATTATGAGTTATGAATAGAGTTGAACTTAAATTGGAGACAGTTCTCTCGTGCAGATTTTTGCGAAGTGTTTATCGCTCTTTTCACTCCTCTCTGTTTATTACACCTTTAGAAACCAGGACTACTATTACTGTTGGTTTGTAGTTACTGTCTACTTACTCCAAATCATAAGCTACAGACTGCAACCTTCTTTGCCTCATTTGAATTTGATCAAATTTTTCAAGAGCCAATTTTCACTTGACTGCGCCATGTATATTGCTTAATTAAAATTATTGGAAAGTTGTGTTTTTAATACCAAAAATCTTTCATATATCAGTGAAGTGCATTTGACTTTCGATTTTTTTTTCCCTGAAGATATACATTTAAGATTATGGGAAATTTAGAAGTATTTTACTATAGGCAACAAGTTACTTTTCTGCAAGCACACCCACCATCCCACACCACCC